CAGAATACGCACTGACCCCGGTCCACGCGTTCCTGCCATACGCGCTGGTCCAAGCCCAAATCTTCCCAGGGCCTGCCCTGTGGCAAGCCTGGGTGTCAACCCCCTTGAGGTGCTCTTCCACCTCCTCGCTGTGGGGACCGGTTACCCTGGCGATTTAACGGAGGACCTTGAGCCCTACCTCCCGCTTGGCGGTTTCCCTGTCCGCCAACCCCCTGTGCGCCCGGTCCTCGGCCTCCCATGGCCTGGCCCCTTTGGCCCTGGCCTCCTCCTCTACCTTGCGGCCTCCCTCCGGCCGCGACAGCAGCGTAAGACCTCCCCTGCCCCACACTACTGCCATCATCTTCAAGGCCCCACTCAATCTAGTCATATGGGACCTCATCGGTACCACCTTCTTCTAATGTCAGGATCATGTGATCCTTGGCCTTTACTTGGCCTGAGATGGTACGATTCTTCCACTTCTTCCCCTTCTCTAAGTCCTTATGCCAGAAAGTGGTTACTGGCATAGACTTCGACTCATACAGGACGACTTCCCTACTCAATGCATCGTACGTCATGCCGGGCTGCTGAGATTTGTCAAAGAAATGCCCGCGTATGGCCTCTGGAATGGCACGATAAAACAACTGGACCAGCTGGGGCTCAGTGACTCCGTGGTCCGGGACGGCTACCAAGTCGTCCATAGTACCCTTGAGTGCCTTAGCACTCCTCCACTGCCGAGAGTGGATCATTTGGAGCTTATCAGAGGCTCTAATGCCTCGCGTTGGGTTAGCGAACCGCTCCTTGAGGAGCTTGAGGAATTGGGAAAGAGGAGTGACTTTGGAATATGCAACCAGGTTGTTTTCACAACCGGCTGTACGCGCGAGAGACCTGGCGAAGCTAGCCGCTTCGTCCTTCAGGGCCTGGAAGGCCACGAGGACTTGCTCCTCTATCAGGATATGCTGTAAATAAATGTAACTATTGACACTGGCCTCCCAGTTGTCAAAGTTCTCGTCCTTCCTAGCGAAGCTAGCCGCTTCGTCCTTCAGGGCCTGGAAGGCCACGAGGACTTGCTCCTCCATCAGGATATGCTGTAAATAAATGTAACTATTGACACTAGCCTCCCAGTTGTCAAAGTTCTCGTCCTTCTTTCCCCCGTATGCGTCTGGGAACTTAAGTTTCACTGGGTCCTTACTGGGTCTGCCCTCTCCTTCTACAGTGGCTGCAGCTTTGGCACCCTGAATGGCACCCTCACAAAACTTCCCTACATTGTCCCTCAACTGTTTGACTTCGCCCCCAATGTGGGTGACGATTTCGCGAGCAAAATCCCTAAGCCCGGACCGCATGGCGCTCAACGCTACATCCTGGCTCCAGCTTGCATGGCGCTCCTCCATCGAGGCCTTGCTCAACACCTCTAAATAGCCCAGTACTTTGTCCCACTTAGCCTTATCATCTGGCTAGGCCAGCACCTCCGCTCTACACTTCTGCACCTTTGCCACTGCTGCGGTCATCTTATTCACTTCCTCTCTCCTCCTCTTCTTCTCCCTCTTCATTCTCAGCTTCCATGCTAACTTTTGCTCGTCTTCCCTCTCTCTTTGTTTCATTGGGTCTGTCATGGCTGCTAGCTCAGCGGCCAGCGCAGCCTTCTCATCCTTAGTCACATATGACTCCGCCTCCTCGTCTTCCCCCAACGATAAATTAGCGACCCGCTCGCTGATCTTCTTCTCGAGCTTAGTATCTATTTCCCACTTCATCGTGCCACCACTACTTCCTTCCCCACTCTCAATTCTCATTCTCTCTTTCTCTTCTTTTGCGGTCGCTTCTGCTTCAGCAACCTTCCTTTTTTCTTCCTCCCCCTGTTGTACCCTCTTCATCTCCTCCTCCAATCTCTTCATCTTCGCCGCCTGCTCGTCTGCGATAGCCTTTAGCTTCGCTTGCTTTTCACGCTTTTTCCTTTCTTTATTCTCTCTGACTAAGGCGGCCATCTTTTCTTGCTGCTCAGTGGTGTAGGGGCTAGTCTCCTTCCCACTACGGGTCTCAACCATGGTGATAAGTTTACAATCGGGTTAGTGGTTTCAAACCTCACCACGTAGATGTCAACCCCTGACTGACAGACCTACTGACTCAATCTAAGACTCAAAGAATCCTGACAGGGATCCTGTCAACTATGGTCTCTAGCCTAGACCTACACTATGGCTGTCACTACTGAACCAGTGGCTGATCAGGAGGCATTTAAGGAGATCCCCCGTAACTCCTCAAGAATTCTTTAACGTCGCAGACAGGACGACGTGATCAGCTTGGTTCTGCCTGTGCTTTCRGCCCACAACTCAGCCTTTCCRGCCTAYTGTGCCACASCGAGCAGCCCGYCGGTCTGTACCGGTCCTTGGGAGGGTTCGTATCCCCCGGGACAGTCGAGTCGTCAGACACAGATCATCAGCCTTACTTGGTCTGGTAGGGGAGTGGTTCCAACAGGCCCTCAACACTTAAAGACGGCCTCCGTTTCAGCCTGCAGCTCAGAGTTCGGACCCTCTACACTGAAACTGAGCAGACCTGCCGGACAGTACCGGTCATTGGGCTAGACGAGTTGTTTAACGAGCGCTCGCCGCTCATGCCCAGGTCCCCAGATACCAGAGTAGAGATTAGTCCTACTAAGTCCCGTGCAGGTTTGGCAGCAAGGCCCTATCGTTCATCCACAGAGTTCTATGACCTAGGACAAAAGAGACTCAATGCAGAAAGAATAGACAGACAGACCGTACTCAGCAAGTACCAAGGGGTATGTGCACATCCATAGGGCAAGGGGCAGGCTAAGGGCTTGGCGAGATGTTACCAACTCCAGCTTGGTCGAAGTCTTGGTCAACGCCTTGGTCAACGCCGGTCAACGCTGCTATGACCCTCGGTCAACTTCGGTCAACTCCGTTCAACGCCTCCGGTCAACCCTCTTGGTCAAC